TTTATTTTTTCAAAAAAGTTGGATTCTGATCTTTAATTTAATTAACATAATAAAACTAAAATATATTTTATATTATGCCGATAAATATCACTAAATTAATGATAAAATGCACTCGCTCTCCAATTGTACGCTAGTTATTTTTGACCGCTTTATGGCTGGTTGCGTTGTAAACAAACTCAGAATATTTTTTTAAAGCTATAATCACTGCGCAATTAATTGCGTAATTCTTTATTATGATGATTAAATGCCATATTTTTTTATTTTAATACTTTAAGAAAAAAAAACCCTTGTAAAATATTAATTAATTAACTTTTTTATACATCGGTCAACTAATTGGTGACCGGTCAACAACTGGTGCATTTACCCTAAGCAAAATTTTATTTGTTAGTTTTTAATAATTAAAAAAAAAATCAAAATTTGTTAATTGTAAATTTTTTAATTCAAGATTCATGTGTTCATCACCCTGGAGTCCCAGTGTTCCACGACGCCTACAAAGGATGGTCGTGCTGCAATAAAAAGTGTACAGACTTCACTGAATTCCTGAACATCAAAGGGTGCACCAAGTCGGAGCACTCGAATGAAAAACCCCCGGAGCCAGAAAAACCAGCTGTCGACAAATCTAAAGCTGCTGAGGTTATAGAGTACCGCGCGCCAGTAAACACTGAGCCTACGATAGAGAGACCACCTTTTGACACTCCACAGAAAACTATGCAGCCGGTGGTGTCCCAGGCGCTGATGGACCAGGTGAAGAGCTTCATCACGAATACTGAAAGTCTTCCTGAGAGCCTAGTGGTCAAAGTAGGACAGAGTTGTAAAAATAGGGGCTGCTCTGTTACCTTTACTGGGACTGACAGTGACAATACCAAGTGTGTTCATCATCCAGGAGTTCCTGTTTTTCATGAGGGCTTGAAGTACTGGTCTTGCTGTCCCAGGAAGAAGATGACTGATTTTGATCAGTTTGAAAAACATCCTGGGTGTAGTGAGGGAACTCATGTTTGGATTGCTAAGGTATTGATTTTTATTTTTTTATTTATTCATATAATATTTTTATTATTATTTTTATTGTAAAAATTATTTTTAAAAAATTAAAAGGAAAAATTTCACATTAGAAAATTAATAAAAATTTTTTTTTAAATATTTTTTTTTACTTGTAATTTAATTGTTGAAAAAAAAAATTTAATGTCGGCTAATTTTAGTTTTAATAAAATTAACAATTTTTTGGATTTTTATAACTAAATTATTATAAAAAATTTTCACATGTAGAAATTAAGTAAGATTACAAGTGTGATTTTAATGACATTTAAATTAGATCATTTTTTAATTTTATTTAACAAATTTTTTCCAAAAAGATATTTAAAAAAAAATTGAATTTTTAATTTTTTTCAATTTTTACATGTCAAATTTTTTTTTTCATTTTTATGTCATAATTTTCTGCTACAAAAATTTTTTAAATCATCAAATATTTACTAAATTAATTTTATCTAAATTAGTACAAATAAATTTTATAGCTAGAAATTATTTTAAAAAATTACAAGTGTTAATTTAAAAAAAAAAAAAATTTTTTTTAATTAAAATAAAAAAAATGTCAAGTGCACGGAAAGAACAAGATTATACTGAATATAATCCCAGATTATACTGAGTGAAAAAAAAATTTCAGATAGTAGCTAGTATAATCCAGATAACAATGAGTATAATCCAGATTACAATGAGTATAATCTAGATATTATTCAGTATAATCTGAATTATACTAACTACCATCTGAAATTTTTTTTCACCTCAGATGTCACTGAGTATAATCTGAGATGGTATCCAGTGTCATCTTATTCTTTCCGTGAATAAGAAGAAAAAATTTTTTTTTTGCACAAAAAAAAATTTTAAATATTAAAAATATATTTTTTTTGTATTAAAAAGCAATAAATTGTAATTTATTTCTAAAGAAATAATTTTTTAGATTGAAAATTAAGTTTCAATACAAATTTCCTTGATTTTGATACTCTAGATTCAAATTTATTATCTAGGGCCGATAAAAAAGAATTTTTTATTATTTACAGTCGGTAAAAAACTTTTTAATTCAATAATTTGATAATTTTCGGAACTTACTAATAAAAATTCGCTTAAAAATAAAAAAAATTGAATTGTATAATTTGTAAAATAAAATTTTAAATAAATTCTTTGTTAAAAAATTAAAAATAGCGTTGCAGTAAATGAAGGTGCGAATAAAAAAATATTTAGCACTTCTTCTGACAAAAATAAAAGAGCAGATTGTTGAAATATACAGACAGCATGACCGTGGTGCGTTAATTATAATTAGTAGTGGGGAAATTAGTAATTAACACGAGAGGTCGATTGCTTTAGTGGAAGTATCGGCTCTTAAATGTATTTAATGCGTGTGAGTATATTTCTGAGTCGGTGGGATTAAACGTGGGTGTAAAGTGTCAAGCATAAGAGTTACAAGCTAGTAAAAAAGCTTTAATTGAAAAAAAGAAGGAGAAGAATAAAAAAATTTCAAGTCAATCAGAAGAATTATCGTGATCAAAATGAATTTGTGATTATTTGTGACCTAAATAAATGTGACTTTATGTTAATTATTGCTATTATTTATATTATTTTATAAAAAAGTACGATTTAAAATTATATTGTATGATTAGTTTTGTTAAAGATGTCGTTAATACTTCAAAAGTACTGCATAAATTTAATTACATACATGTAGTTAACAAAATTACTTATAATTATTTGAGCGGTGAATTAATTGGAGAACGGTCGGTCATTTATTGGGTTTCTTCGGTCAATAATTGGTGATTTTAGTATTTCAGGATTCAAATAACAAAATTAATATAATTTTGTTAATTTTTATTATAAATAGTTATTAATTATTATTAATTAAGTATTTAACTTTAATAAAATCCATTACAAATTGTTTTTAGAAGGTTAATAGATTTTTTATAGCTCAGTACAGCAAAAGAAAACCTTAATCGGTCAACAATTGGTGCATTTACCCTATCGTATTTATTATTAATCTGGTTAATATTTTTTATTTGTCATATATATTTTTTTATCATCTACTATTATATAATTTCAGGTTGTCGACGTAGAGAACAGTTCAGTCCAAATGTTACCCACAAAAGTGGAGATAAAACTAAAAAAAGAAGAGCCAAATTCCTGGTCGAAGCTTGATATTCCCAAAGAAACTGCTCCTGCGAAGGAAGCGCCTAAAGAAGAAGACAACTCCATCTCTGAAAGAGTGGACGCAGTTGACCTAAATGACCTCTAATGTTCAAATAAAACCGCACAAATATTTTATACTTTCATTTCGTTAAAGTTTTACCAATAAAAAAATATTAATACAAATTATTTAATTGATCAATAATCATTAAAAATAAATTAGATCAAAAAGTTAGTTTAAAAAAATTCCACTAGGTGGCTACGGCTCTCATAGTTGAAAATTAATTTATTTCAAAATACATAACAAAAGTATTTTTACATATTATTTTATATACATTCTTTTTCTAGAAGGCGTCTTGGACCTCCTTAAAGCTCTCTCCAACAACAGAATCAATAAGCGCGACAACATTCCTCGCCAAGCTCCTGCAGTTAACATTAGGATCTCCCCTCACAGAATCCAGCGCCAAATCCCCCAACCAGCTCCTGAACTCCATCATCAACTCCACAGTATCCCTCCCCAAGTTCTCTTTCTTCAGAGTAACAACAACCGCCGCTACATTTTCAATCACACATAACCTAACCTTGGCTTCCTCATGGAACCTCAGCGTCCACACAAGTTCCATCAAATCCTTCGCTATTCTCCCCGCAGCTACACAATTTTCCGCCGCTACCATAATTACCGACAGAGTCTTCAAGAATTCTACCAACAAAATATTATCCGTGTCAACAAACTGGTCCGGAAGCTTATACAAGTACGCCCTCTTTTGCATCACACCAAACAATAACGGATAGAAGAACCCAGTGGCGACATCATTGAACTTATTAACAAAACTCTTAGCTCTCTTAGACTCATGCGCAAATCTTCTGGTGTTAGATTCTATCCTTTTCTGCACTATTTCTTCCCAACCTCTCTTTTCTTCTTCTTCAACAACTTCAAAGTCTTCATCATACAAAGTCTCTTTTTTTCTTCTTTCTATCAACAAAGAAACCTTACAATTCTTCTTCTTACCAACCTTAACCTCTTTAACGGCATCTTTATCATCTCCAACCTTAACCTCAACCCTAGACAACCTCCTAGCGCCCTCTTCTAACACACTTAAAAAGAAAATCCTGTCGCTAATTGAAAACTCGCCCATACTCGCATGAAAACTAGCACAAAGGAACTCCGCAGCTTCTTTGGGATAAACAAGAACAATTCCCACGCATGCGCGGAACTTGAGCTTATAAAAATCCGGCGTATAGACTTCTTCTTTAAGAGTCATTAAAATTCTTAATAATTCAAGCCCTAGAGACTTATCATCACTCGGAAGTTGCTGAAGAATTAATTCTTCTGCTATTTTCATTGACTCTGAAAATATATCCGGGTCTTTGTTTGCCTGGTGGGTTATTAAATTGTCTCTTAGGTCTCTTAAATAAGCTGGCTTTAATTTTTCTACTACCAAAGTGTCATTAGATAAATCATAAGGCTCTAAATCATCATCACTATCTAATTCTTCTTCTTTATCAACAATTTTTTTTATTTCTTCTTTGTTTTCTTTTGAATTAACCTTAATTCTGTCTTTATTAGCAGCTTTATCATCTTCTTTCATAGAAACCAGCCCTAAGTTCTCAATTTCTTTAGAATTAACCTTAATTTTGTCCTTATTAACCACTTTATCATCTTCTTTCATAGAAACCAGCCTTAAGTCCCCAATTTCATTAGAATTAACTTCAATTCTTCCTTTATTAAGCTTCTTATCATCTTCTTTCATGAAAACCAGCCTTAAATTCCCAGATTCTTTAGAACTAACTTCATTTCTTTGTTTATTAGGAACATTATCATCTTCTTTCATGAAAACCAGGCTTAAGTTTTCTAAAATTGCATCCCCGTCGATAAAACAGCTGTTTATATTATCTTCAGTGGCTAATTTTCTAAATTTATCAACCAAATGATGTTCAGGGTATTCATACTTTAATTTAGGACCCTTTTCATTTAAAATATCAAGGACTAACTCTCCAGTAATCATTCCCAAGATTCTAACCTCCAATAACATGGATTCCAAATGAACACTAGTCCCTTCAAATATCAGCCTTTGAATCTGTTCTTTTTCTGTACTACTCAGCTGATTTTGTAATTTTTTTATTGAAATTAAGATAAACTTGCTGATATATTCATGGTGTTCTACTGAACAGTGGTTTAAGGCGCTCCTGTCGCCCCAAATGTCCAAAAGTTTGAAGGTTAAAGCTACTAAAGGCCGGTTTTCATGAATTGAAGATGATAAGTAGAACACTAGGTTCTTTATCAGCTGTTCGCTTTCTTGGAAAGACAGTAAGGGGATTTTTGTGGTTAGGACGTAGCGCCACTGGTCAATTTTAAGGGAATCCCGAAGGATTTTCTCAATTTCTCTTGGATTGTTTGTTTGCTTCAAAAGTAAAGTTGCAAAAGGTTCTACTGCAGATCTATCTAGATTTTGTAAAATTTTGTAAATAAATTCGTTTATATTAAGGCTGTTTTTCAGCGACCAGGAGGAAAAAATGTCAACTAATGCCGAGAAATTATAAGATCCTAAACTGGAGATGCTCTTGCTGATCAAAGAAGAAATAAGCTCGACATTAGGGCTGATATTCAATTCATTCTGGAGTTTGTTTAACAATTTTACCGCGCGGCAAATGTTATAGGTTATAATTTGCGCGTAATTATTTAATTTAAAGCACTTGGAGACTTTTCCAAGAGTCTTATTGGCTAGAAGAGTCGGCAAAGATACTAGAAGCTGGGAAAATACTCTCCAGTTCTCTAAAAATTCAGCTTGTTCGATTGCCGTTCGGGGAACTGGCCTACAAGCTGTTACTAGGGACAAGCACAAGGTGTCGCTAGTGGTCAGTTCTTCTAGGAGGGTGATTAGAAGGCTGGTGAAAGGCTCCGAAGAGGTTTTTAGTTTGTCTGCTATTACTTGGAGAGATTCGTTGATCATGGGGTACGCTGGGCATTGCATGAGGTTGTGGGCTAGGGATATTAAGAACTGGTCTGGGTATTTTAAGAGCAGGTTTAAGGTTTGTTCGATTATCTTGCTGTGGAGAAAGCCGTCGACTTTGGGGAGGTTGGGGAGAGTTTCAGGGGTTATGGTGGAAAACGGGGTTAGGTAGGCGTTGATGTTTGTTGATATTGTTTTTAGTGTGGTGGCGCTGGTTACTAGTTCTAAGTTTGAGAGAATGGTTAGTAGATTTTGGGCTTCCATTTTCTGAAAAAAATAATTATTAAAAATTTATTAAGAATTTATTTTGCAGATATTTAATAATTTTTTTAACAAATAAATGAGAAAGTAAATTTAAAAAATTATAAATGCAATTTTTTGAAAATCATTTTTTAGACAAAATTTACTTGTAAAATAAAATTAAAAAATTATTGTCTGCTTTATCATAAAAATTTATCAAGGTTTTTTTTATCAACACTTACCGGTCAAATTTTTTTTATAAATAATTCGCTGTTTTAATTTTCTGGAGAGTTTTTTATAAATTTCTGAAACAGAAAATTATTTTAAAGTTAAATAAAATTTTAGTTAGTCGGTAAGAATTTATTGAAGAACTTAGCGCATAATTTTTAATAATTAAAAATGAAAATTAAGTTAGCCGACATCTAAAAATTTTTAGAATTTTTTTTTATTGAATAAATTATTACGAAAAAATAAAAAAAAAAATTTCATTTAAAAAAAACTTGAAAAATCTCAAGTGCAATTAAAAAAAATATTTTTTAGTTCTAATATAATAATTAAGAATAATTAAAAAAATTAAAAACGTCGGCTAACTTTAATGTTACAAATTATACGTGGAAATTTTTTAAAAATATTTTTTTAGTTCTAATTTAATTAATAAAAAAAATAATGATTTAGTATCATTAATTAAACACATTACAAATTTTTGTAAAACACTAACCTATCAAATTTTTAGAATACTTTTTGATTTTTCAATTTTTGAATCGATAAAAATTATAAATAAAAAGATATTTTTTAAAAATTGCACTTAAAATTTTTCCAATTTTTTTTTTCATTTTTCTTAATTAATTTTTTTCAATAAAAATAATTCTAAAATTTTTCAGATGTCGGCTAATTTAATTTTCATAAAAAATTAATTTTTCAAAATTTCCGTAAATTTTTAATTCCTAAAACAAAAAAATTATTCATTAAAATTAAATAAAAACTCACCTAAAATTAAGGTTATACTATTAGAAACATTTAATTCAATAAATAATTAAAAGTTTAATTATTTAAAATATGTTTTACTTAAATAATTAGAAATCAACAAAAATTATTAAAAACTGCCATTGAAATTAACAATTATTCCAATAACAATCTCATTTTAAATGTATATTGTTTACAACTGTATATACACATGCTCCTATTAAAACACTGTCAATTACACTGAAGTTAACTGACATTAAAAATTTTTTTTTAATTTTTATAAAAATTAAATAATTATTAAAAAATTTAATGTAAAAATTTTTAATGAAAATTTTTTTAAGTGTTTTTTTTTATTTGTAATTAATTTGTTGTAATAATTTAAAAAATTGACAGCTGTTATAGCTAACTTCAGTATCATACCTTGTCGCCGGTAAAATAGGAACTATTTAAAATTTTGAACTAATTTTCTATCTGTGGCGCCACCTGTCACATATTTTAATTAAACTGACATTCAAACTGATGAAACTAAAAAAAATAAAACAGCTGACAACTTAACCTGAAGAATTGTCTGAAGCTGGTGATTGCAACTCCATTGTCATCTAGGTTTTGTGTTTTGCAGGAAATCGATTGAGGTTGAAAATTGGAGATTGGAATAGGTTAATTAAGAGAATAAGTTTGTTTTGGTGTCTGGAGTGTCCTGGTAGTGCTGGAGAAGTATGTGGTGCTGATAATTTAATGGTAAAGATATAAATAAACATACCTGAAGAGAAGATTGAACGCTATGAGGGCTGACGAGTGCTATGATGAAGAGTAGCCCGCACTAGCTGCTGGGCACCAAGGCTGAATCACGACAAGTAAACATGTGCAGATGCTACGTAGTACTATTAGGTGGATGACAGGTATGACAAGTGTTGAAATGGATCAGAAACCAGTTGTTGATGAAGGCGGGCCCAGTTCTGATGTCCCTAAGACACCAGAGGCGATTGAGGTATTTTTTTTTATATTTATTCAATAATAAAATACTAAAATTAACAACTGTCAGGTTTTTTTATTAAAATTAAAAATTTTTTGGAAAATTTAAATAATTACAAATGATGAAAATTAATTTACCAAATATTTGATAATTTTTTTAATTTTTGTAACAAATTAAATATGACAAAAAAAAATTAAATTGTAGAAAATTAAAAAAATTAAAAATTATTTTTAGAACAAATTATTTTGTTGAAACATAAATATTAATTGAGCAGATAATTGATAATTTTTAAAATTTTTGTAAAAATAAAAAATAAAATGTAGAAAATTTTAATAATTAAAAATAATTTTTTAGAACTAATTTTTTTGTTAAAACAGATTTTTAAAATTGTGAAATGACAGCTAAATTAATGTCATCAATTAATGAAATTAATTTAGCAGATATTTGATAATTAAAAAAAATTTTTTTAACAAATCAATTATAACAAAAAAAGTTGACGTAGAAATTTAAAAAATTAAGAAATGCAATTTTAAAAAATATGTCTGATTTTAGTATCATTTAATTTTATTAGTCATTATTCATCAGTAATTTATTGCAGGTGGATAATTCACAGACGATTCTGTTGAAAATAGCGACTTTGTATGCTGAGCGGTTGATGAATGATATTTGCTTGGTGGTTGATGGTGTAGAGTATCCAGCTCATCGTTTAATTTTATGTGCTTCTAGTGATGTATTTCAGGTAATACTTTTTTTTATTTCAAGTAAATTTTTTAAGGATATTAAAATTAGCCAACGTTCAATAATTGACAGCAATGACAGACAATAAATTCCACTAATAAAACCGATTTTATCATATGACTATCCTGGACACAAAATTTTTCTTATTTTCTTAATAATATAGATAATAAATAAAATTTGGCTTTGTTAAATGATAAATTTTGTTAAATTGCACTGTACTTTCTTAAATATTGACATTTTTTTAAATATAAGCTCATTTCGACGTTACACTTATCAAAAGCTTTCATTTGAGTACCCACATGCATTTTTATATATTTTTCATATATACATATATATATAATATATAAAATATATGAAAAATTAATGTTGGTACTCAAATGAAAGGTCTCAATGAGT